AAAATCTTAATTCATGGTAACGTATTTTTCTTCAAAATCACTATACCTTTGAACCTTAAAACATTTCTTATGCCAATTTTCATTTCCTCCTTAGTCAATCTTTAAATTTTGACATTTCTGAATTAAAAATATTGCATTTCCAATCACTTTTTTTGCGCGACCAGATATATTATTACATTCTCATTTTTTTTATCTTGGCCATCTCTTGACCATTTTTATGGTATTTCGTCAATATATATATATATATTTTGTTATTCAACCCTTACAAATAAATATGTTTTAAAAAATTTTATTCAAGAAAATTTGCCATAATAATAATATCATTTATTATATTTCTTCATTTTACAGGTTGCGATAAATATAAATGTTGTCATCTTTTGACATCAAAAATATGAAAATAACAAAACATCTCATTTTATATTTATAAAAAATAAAAATATATTCAAATAAATACTAAAGAATAAATTTATTCAATAAAATCGTCATTGGCCTTCAAAGTTGGCCTCCAGACTTTATATTTGGAATTAATTTCAACTCTGGAATGGATGGTCTTTTGATTTAAGTTGGTGAATGATTTTATAATCCTTGCCTTTAAAATTCATCTTTGATGTTTTAAAAGTAGTTTTGTTGGTCTTATACAGCGAAACCCACATAATAATAATTAAAAATTTTGTAGTCTGGGGAGTTTAAATGGCCAGATGTAAAGGGTGATGTGGTTTGAGAAAAAATGTCTGACAAACATGACTGGGTTATAAATTTGTAAATATTTCTTTCTGACCTGAGATAAATATTTAATATAGGTCAATATGTTTCTTCTGACCTTTTGGGAAGATAATGGTATCAATGTCCTTCAATTGACATTTGTGATTTGAAATGTTTTTATTGCATTTTCGTATAAAAATATAAAAGCAAAGACAACATATTTTTTTCAAATTTTTATTTTTAAATATATTTATCTTTTATGCACTTTTTTTTACGGTGCCCAAAAAACCCCAAACATACTGTGAGTCGATGAAATAAAAAAAAACGTTTTAATGAAAAATATAAAAAAGGCCTGAATTTCTCCCAAATGTTTTCTCTTCTATCTATCTATCTATCCTCTCTATCTATCTATCTATCTATCTATCTATTCCTAATATATATAAATTGCAAAATTTTATATATATAAAAATTTCACAAAAAAGACGTAATTTTTTACGTCAAAAATTTCAATCCAATTGTGTTTTTTTTATCAATTTAATATATAATATTTTTTTTCTTTATATATATATATATATATATATATATATATATATATATATATATATATATATATGTTTTGCAAAAAAAAATTTTTCAAAATATGTAACAGCAAAATTGATTAATTTTGAAATATATCATTTTAAATAAATGAAATAAGATATCTTACTGGGATTCTTCGATTTTTTTTATTTTTTTATTGAACACTGAACAATATGAATGTATTTAAATTGAAGTTGAATTCATGATCCCAGGATGCTGTTGTGACCTCCTGGTGTAGAACCTCATAAAGGATTGAAAAGTTCAAAATATATATATATATATATATATATATATATATATATATATATTCTTATATATAAATAATATTCCGGGTGTTCTTATAGATATTTTTATTTTAAAACATGGTTAGAACTGTTTAACGGAAAACCCATATTTTAAATCAATTAATTTATAATATTATATATATATATATATATATATATATATATATATATATATATTATTATTTCAAAATCATTATCAAAAATGATTCAATATGATTTAAATTTTTACCTTCTAATTTCCTGTCCTGGAGAAATAAATTGCCGATAAGAGCATTTTTCGTATATTTACACCCAAAATCTTTTTTTTGATCTTTCGACTGTTATAATGAATTGCTCTTCTTCTCAAGTTTAACGTCTTTTTTATTTTGAAGGTGGATCATTTTTTTTCAAATAGTTGAAATGATATTCCTTAAAAAACTTTTTGTTGGTAAAATTTTTCTAACTCTACTGTTCCCTCTTTTTAAAATTTAAAAAACATATCTCGATGGTTTTAAATATATATTGAAATGGAAATGCCAAATAAATTTAAATATTGGTTAAATATCAATTCTAGTTGAATAATCAAAAAATTTTATAATTTTACAATATGCTATCAAGATGGATGCTAAACGTCTCATCTGAAAATATTAAAAATTATTAGTATAACATAACCCTTTAAAATCGTTTTTTTTTTATGTTAAACATTTTGTGAAATGAACATTATGGTTTCAAACGATTTAGAAAATTTTGGTGTAAAACAGGTCGATGCCTATATATATATATATATATATATATATATATATATATATATATTATATATAAATAGCGGTGCTAAAATCCAATTCCAAAAATTTTTGTAATGCACGAGTTTTTTCGTTTCTTGAAAATTTTCATGCAAACAAAAACAGACTATCATTATATTGCCATGTCCGTGTATTGTTTAATTTATTGTAATGTTATTGTCGTCTTTGATTATGCCTTATGTAAACCGAAAGCTTTAGATAGTATTAAAAAAAACATGTATCAATATGGTGATTTTCTTTCGTCTTTCAATGATAATGTTATTAAGCTTATCAGACGATATGAAAGGAATTTGCAAAAATAAATAGACAGAACTTGTCTATATTATTTAATGAAACATGCATCATATATATATATATATATATATATATATATATATATATATTGAATGATATATATATATATTAAATATATGTGTTGTGGTAGGATCCACCTAATTTGCATAGTGGAGTACCGACCATATAAATATGGTTGGTACCGGGAAGAGAGGGAGGAATCAAGAGATTCAACCAGAGACTCTGCCCGACTGCGACTCAGTCAATACATTCTCCAGGAACGGTCTTACCAGGAATATACAAAAGACTATATGTAAATATTGTGTACACTTTCTTGTTTCAATACATTTTGTTCTAAGTACATTTTGTGTTGCATTATTATTCCATGCATTAGTCAAGTTTCAACAATATATATATATAGTTTGTTAATTAGTTAATATATATATAAAATAATTATAAAATATATATATATATATATATATATATATATATATATATATATATATTTTTCTTTGATTTTAACCATTAGAAAAAGTCTTATTTATGAATAAAAATGACAAATGGGAAAAAATTACAATTTCATTGAAGTTTTCCTATTGTTTTTTTATTATAGAATATATATATATATATATATATATATATATATATATATATATATATATTAATATATTTATTCAAAATTTACAGCATAAACATGTTATAACATCAATACCAAAATAGCCAGTTTATTTCAACAGTTCTGGTGTTTTGTCAAGTGATGATGTTAATTGCAGAATCAAGAGTTTTAAAAAGTTGAAAACCAACCAAACTCCCCTTAATAGGGGAAACATTGTTACGTAAGCTACAATGACCAATCAAAATACAAGTATGATAATTCAAAAAACTTGACAACGATCCTTAGTTACAATTTACTAATGTCTAAATACTAATGTCAGACTAAATTAGAAATCATTCTAACTTATTAATTTTTTTATTTTACTATAAAATTAAAAAATAAAAATTACCAATTTTAAATTTAACCTTACATTAAGTTTAAAATATTATAAAATTATTCGAAGAAGGAATGAAGGAAATTATACATATATTTATTTATTTAATCGAAAATCTATATTTTCAGTTAGAACAAACGTTAATCTAAGGAGATTCAATCATCGTAACAACTTAAAGGGATCTGAATTCAGATGATGTCGGCAGGGGAAGAAGTATTAATAAGCAAGTACAAACTATCAAAATTTTACATACATGGGCAACGATGTGTAGATAAAAAGAGGGTTTAATTGATGAAAGTTAAGAAGGGTATAATTGAAGAACAAATAATCGGCTATGAACAAAGCAAAGAAAAAAAGACAATTAAACATATGCATACAAATGATTTTTTGTTTTCGAGTTCATGGAATGAATTCATATCAATTCTCTAAAATAAAACAATTAAACTGATAATAATATTTTTTATTTCGATCCTTTTTGGGTTTTATTTTTACTTTCGGCTTTTTTTCACATCTAAACAATGCTTGGAAAAATCACCATACATACAAATGAACATACATAAATATACACTTAAACATATCTGTATCCTAACAGATTAAGATCCTCTATTTTTTATTATATTTAGCAAAATTCAACACGGAAAATAAGAATAAACATATATATCAGAAATGAAAACATATATTTTATATAGATATTCCACATATCTCCCTAAGAACATATATATTTATATATATATATATATATATATATATATATATATATATATATATATATATATATATATATATATATATGTGTGTGTGTGTGTTTAAATTTTCCATTCTGACAAGTTCTAAATTTATTTTCAATGTAAAGTATCTAATTTTCAAATACATTGTTGCACATCCAGGATTTTTGATAAACTAGCGATATTCATATTATTATTTTTCTCTTCATATTTTTTTCTATTACTTTCGACTGTCACTATAAACATGAGAAAATAAAGTTGTTAGTCACCAAGCCTCTGACCTCACTATATATCCAAGAAATTTCAGTTCTGTCGTATTGTTATGAAGAAAAATCTCTTTATTATTTTTTGCTCAAAAAAAAAAAAAAAAAAACATTTCTTAATAACTCCCAATCTTTCTTTCTTTCTTTCTTTCTTTTTTTATAGCTACGAGTATTTCTTTCTTAATAGATCACAGACTTTCTTTCTTTTTGCATTTTTTTCCTTTGTTTCGACTTCTTCCTATTTTCTTTCTTCCTTTTCTACCTCTTTTCTTTTCTTCGTTTTCTTGCTTCTCTTTTCTCTTCTTTATTTCTTTGTCTTTTTTTTTTTGCTCTACCTTCTTTCTTTCTTTTTTTCTTTCTTAATAGCTGCTTGTCCCTCTTTCTTTCTTTTTTCTATTTTTTTTTTTTATTTATTCAGCCAATGGGAAATTTTTTTGTTCTTCCTTTGAAGCAATTCTCGGCTGCTTCACTTCTCTTTCTTTTTTTAAATTCGTTTTTAAATCCCCAAATGATTTATCTCCCTTTAATTCAACTCTCCAAGTTTTTGTTGAACACAAGCATTAGCCAAAATTTGAACTCAAACAATTTGCGTCAAGATAACTGGATCCAACCAACGTTTTTCCACTGACCCACCCATGTCCTTGAGACATCCGGAAAAAAAACTACACGTGGAACTAAATTTTTTTTCTACACCTGTTCAGTTCGAAATTATTTTAACCTGAAGAAGGCATTGTATTTAACGACCGAAACGTTGTAAATTATGGCAGTAAAATAATTCACAACAGTCATTTTATTGTAAATAATTTAAATAATTACAATATCCCATCACATTTTATATTTATTAATTTATTCTGATACATTAAATATCAGTGCTACTATTTAACAGTGATATTCTGGTTTTTCAAATTTGGTATTCAGGGAAAGGTCTTCGAGTAGAAGGTTGCAAAAATTTCCTTTTTCAGTCAGTTTCCACATCTCTGCAAACCAACATTCTTTCGCGCAAAAAATTTTATTAGAGTTATCGGTTTTAAAATTACGCAGATACGCCCTTATTTATTCTTATCATCTTCGGGGCGCGAAACCGGCTCCATGCAAACAGAGCGTTTTTTTTTTTTTTTTTTTTTTCACTCGAACGTTGACGGTTGTAGCTTGCAGGGAATAAAGGATGTTGTTGAAGGGGTCTGGAAGGTGTGCGATGATTGGCAAAGATAAGCAACAAAAAAAAATTTTTTCGCTTCTTATCGTATTCTTCACTTAATAAATTCAACAAAAGAATAACTCATTCTTTCCGCTTTTTTAATCAGTTTAATTTATCTTCTTCCGTTTTCCCTATTTTTTTGTTTATATTTCAAAATCATATTTTCAAAATCATTTATCTCTTTCACTGCCACTCCGTCCGCTTTCTTTCTTTCTTTCATTTTTTCTTAATAGCTCACAATCTTTCTATCTCTTTTAATAGCTTTTCTTTCTCAACAACTCCCAATCTTTCTTTCTTTCTTTCTTTCTTTCTTTTCTTAAAGCTCTTATTTTTGTTTTTTTTTTTTTTTTTTTTCTTTCTTTCTTTCTTAATAGTTCCCACTGACTTTCTCTTTCTTTTTTTTTTTATCTTTCTTTTTTTTTCTTTTTACTTACTTATTATTTCTTCCATTTTCTACCTGTTTTTCTTTCTTCTTTTTCCTGTTTCTCTTTTCTCTCCTTTATTTCTTTGTCTTTTTTACTCTGGCATATTTCTTTTTTTTCTTTCTTTCTTTCTTCTTTCTTTCTTTCTTTCTTTCTTTTTTCTTTCCTTAATTCTTTATTCATTTATTTATTGATTTCATTCCTTATAGCTCTCAGTCGTACTTTCGTTTTTTCTTTCCTACGTTCTTTCTTTCTTTCTTTCTTTATTCTTTCTTTCTTTCTTTCTTTCTTTCTTTCTTAATAGCTCTCATTCTTTCTTTTCTTTTTCTTTTTCTTTCTTTCTTTTTTCTTTCTTCATAACTCCCCGTCTTTCATCTTTCTTTCTTTCTTTCTTTTCTTTTCTTTCTTTCTTTCTTAATAGTTCCCAATCTTTCTTTCTTTCTCTTTTAATAGGATTCATCTTTCTTTCTTAAAAATAACTTAATTTTTTTCTTTCTTTCTTTTTTTCTTTCTTTCTTTCTTTCTTTCTTTCTTTCTTTTTTTTTCAAAAGGTCTTTCTTTTTTTTCTCCTTGTTTCGACTTCTTTCTTTTTTCTTTCTTCCCTTTTTTTCCTGCTTCTCTTTTCTCTTCTTTATTTTTCTTGTTTTTTTTTTTACTCTGGTTTCTTTTTTCTTTTCTTTTTTTTTTATTTTTTTTTTTGTTTTTTTTTCGTAAAATATTTCTCTCGATTTCTTTCGACTCATCTTTTATTATTTTGGCTCTTCTTTTCTTTCCGATTTCTTTTTTTCATTCCTGCACTTCTTGTTTGCTTTCTTCCTCTTTCTCCCTTTTCTTTTTCCTGAAGAAAGAAAATAAAAATTCTTTTCTTTCTTTCTTTCTTTTTTCTTCTTTCTTTCTTTCTTTCAATTCCTCACCTTCCTTTCCTTTCTGTCTCTTTCTTTTTTTTCCCTAACCTTTTTGTTTCATTTTCTTTTTTAATTTTTCAGCCATGTTCTTCCTCTTTCTTTCTCTCTCTCTTTCTTTTTCTTTCTTTCTTTTTTTTTTTTTTTTTTTTTTTTTCTTTCTTTCTTTTAATTTTCAGCTTTATCTTTTGATTATTTTTTTCTTTTTCTTTCATTTATTATTGATTTCATTCCTTATAGCTCTCAGTCATTCTTCCGTTTTTTCTTTCCGTCTTTCTTTCTTTCTTTCTTTCTTTCTTTCTTAATAGCTCTAATTCTTTCTTTTGTTTTTCTTTCTTTCTTTTTTCTTTCTTCATAGCTCCCCGTCCTTCTTTCTTTCTTTTTATTCTTTCTTTCTTAATAGTTTTTTCTTTTTTCTTTCTTTTTTTAATTTACAAGTCTTTTTTTTTTTTTTTTTTTTTTCTTTTCTTTCTTTTTTTCTTTCTTTCTTTTTTTTTTTCTTTCTTTCTTTTCTTAATTTTTTTTACTTTCTTTCTTTTGTTTTTTTATTTTTTTTTCTTTTTGCATATTTCTTCTTTCTCTCCTTAATTATTTATTTCATTCCTTTATAGCTCTCAGTCATTCTTTCGTTTTTTTCTTTCGTTGTTTGTTTGTTTGTTTGTTTCTTTCTTTCTTTCTTTCTTTCTTTCTTTCTTTCTTTCTTTCTTTCTTTCTTTCTGAATAGCTCTGTCCTTTTTTTATTTATCTATCTTGTTTTTTTTTATTTATTTCATTCTTAATAGCTTTCAGTCATTCTTTCTTTCTTTCATTCTTTCTTTCTTAATAGCTCACAATCTTTCTTTCTTAATAGCTCTCAGGCTTTCTTTCTTTCTTTCTTTCTTAATAGTTCCCGAACTTTTTTTCTTTCTTTCTTTCTTTCTTTCTTTCTTTCTTTCTTTCTTTCTTTCTTTCTTTCTTAATAGTTCCCAAACTTTCTTTCTTTCTTTTCTCCTTGTTTCAACTTCTTCCTATTTTCTTTCTTCTTTTTTCTACCTGTTTTTCTTTCTTATTTTTCCTGCTTCTCTTTTCTCTTCTTTATTTCTTTGTCTTTTTTACTCTGGCTTCTTTCTTTCTTTCTTTCTTTCTTTCTTTCTTTCTTTCTTTCTTTCTTTCTTATTTTGGCTCTCCTTTTCCACCGTCCGACTTCTTTTCTTCACTCCTGCATTTCTTGTTTGCTTTCTTCCTCTCCTCTCCCTTTTCACGCCTTTCTTTCTTTCTTTCTTTCTTTCTTTCTTTCTTTCTTTCTTTCACTGCCTCACCTTCCTTTCCTTTCTGTCTCTGTCTGTATTTCCCTGGCTTCTTTGTTTCCTTCGTATTTTCAAATTTTCAGCCATGTTCTTCCTCTCTCTCTCTCTCTCTCTCTCTCTCTCTCTCTCTCTTCTTTCTTTCTTTCTTTCTTTCATTCTTCCAGTTTTTAACTTATCCACCTTTCTTTTCTCGTGTATTAGACGTTTCATGATACTTAGAATACCTCGTGTAAAATTCGACAGCAATGTCTAGCTATAAACAAATTAAATATAAAAAGCATACTTTTTTATATACAGACACCTTCACAATCTCTAGTGACATCTAAGCTGAAAATTCGTTTGTACGTAACTTTTAACGCAAAAACAAAACAAATGTCATCTGTTACAAATTTACATGTTTCCTGGGTATGATGATAAAGTACGTCTCTCAGCAAGGCCTCTGATCTGAAAATTGAACGTACTAAAAAGCATAGAACCGCCTCTTAATTGCTGTTGTTCCCAAGTCCACCCTGACCCGTGGTGGTAGCACCTGTTAGGGTACCTGCTATGGGAAAATAGTTGCCCCCCACAAACTGGGGTAAAATACTGTGATAGTATAAAAATACATTTTATAGTAAAAATACCAGCAACAGATTTCCACAGTAAAAATTATAGCAATACATTTTTGTAAAAAAAAAAAAACCTTACCAGCAATGCATTTCTGAAAAAAAAATATCAACAATACATTTTTGTAAAATAAATTACTAATGCTCAAAAGAAAACTTAATTTTAACATTAAATGACCCATAACGTGTTGATATGCCACTAAACAAACATATTTACATTGAAAATGTAAAATATGTTTCAGTAAAAAAAAAAGAAAAGAACTAGAACATTTTTTTATTCTCAATGGATAAAATATCGGGTTTTGGATTTCTTTTACAGCTGTAAATCTCATCTGTTTATTAATTTCCTGATATAAGGGTTCATAATGAGAAAAGAGTGCATGGAAAAAGTGATACCCACAGGGCAAATTGAATGCAAGAGGTATAGCGTGAAACAACGTATAAGTAACGCGACCTTGAATGAATAGATGACGGATCAGGTTTTAGGAGAGATAGGAAACAGACAAAATTAATTATGAGCTAAAAGGACATAAAATTGTGATGAACATTGATCTCCAACGTCCTGAAGAGCCAAGGTATATATAAGATTTGCAACTCTTTCTGTTTGCCACTCTGCAAAAAAAAAAAAAGAAAAAAAAATAGCACAATGTGATTTCTAATCATAATTTGTCTAATTTATTCCTAGTAATTAAAAGACATTGAGTTTAACAAATATATTAACAGAAACAGTAATACAAACATATACAAACGAGAGTGTTGCAGCAAGAATGTTCGGCCCGACTGTCAGAGCTGACTGCTGGAAACTTCACTCTCTCAAAAGGCAGTACCTGCTCCTATTTATAGCTTGGAGAGTCCATACGTGCGTGGGTAAATTACCATAACACTATCTATCTATCTATCTATCTATCTATCTATCTATCTATGTCTGTCCACATCTATCTATCTATCTGTTGTCGCCTTGTTAGGGCCAGAAATAAAAGACACACATAG